CTGTACTGTAGCTCTGGTAGCTAGAGACATGCAGTACATACAGAAGCTACAGAACATACATGAGACTACTATCCTTGCTTTGCATATCTGTAGCTATTCTAGTTAGACCCCTTCATTCTGTGCAAAGTAGAAATTCAAAGAACAAAAGAGTGTGGCGCTTACCGTGGGAACGTACAATATAAGTGGTGCAAGTACTAGATTCCAATGTGTGCACATACGGCTTCCATCCATTCAAAAATCAAAGAATTCTGACCAGTGATTATAGATACTGGCCACCTGTTTCTCCTTTCTGGACTTCCATCAGTAAATGGGCAAATGCAGAATGGGGTTTCCAAGAATCATCAATGTTGTCGCAATAAATATTGTAGGACTTGTTTCGTCTCAACGATCCTGAGCTGTGCGCGCGCCTTCGGCGCTTTCCAAGTGTTCCCACGGTTCCATTTTCAGTTTATCGTCTGTCGATTTGTTTTTGCTGGACTTCCACTGCTCGTTATACTTGTGGTGGAAGTACGTACCTCATACTATATTCGTATTGGACAGATTACTCATGTACATACTAGCTACTCGCTTACGCTTGTACTAGGTATATAATACACTGCTCGTTTTACTTGTGGTGGAACTACTCGCTCTCGCTCGTACTAGCCAGTAATCTTGCAAGAGGTTATGAGCCCTGCATCCTTTGTCACAGTCAATTTCGGCAAGAAGGTCTCGATCGCGCCGCTGCGCGAGGACCAAGCCAACTGGCCGATGTACAAGGATGACTTTACGAACACGTTAAAGGCGTGAGGGCTGTGAAATATTTGTTCAGAAATTATGTCCGCCCGACACGGTTTGCATACGACGCGACCGACGACAAGTACTTCAAGCTCGCAAGCGATGGCACATGTACGAGCACGGTTCTCACACCGGAGCAGGCATCGGAGGTGGAGGAGCTCGCTGAGAAGATTGACGGTCATCTTGCTCAGATCCAGGAGCTTCTTCGTGTGAGTCTGCCCACCACAATATGGCTGCAGATCAAGACCGCCAGATTGCCGGGCGCTATGTGGGAGGCGCTGAAGCGCAAATGCACAGAGAAGCAGAAATCGACTGTCAAGACAGTCCGTGATGCGATGCGACGGGTACGTAGCGCCGAGGGCGAGGACCCGCACGCCGCCATTGAGCCACTGCTCTCGTATCAGAACGAACTGGCCGAGATGGGCTGCACACTCGACAATGATGATATCGTCGAGTGCATCCGACTCGCTTTCCCCCACTTCCGCCCTGCTCTCAATGCTTTGGAGAGCAACGCCGCGTTCGCGCGTAAGCACGAGACGGATGCGGCAAAGCGTAATCTTATTTACGTCACCACCGAGGAGGCACTCGAGGTCGTGCAGGAAGCCTGGCAACGACAACTCGACGACCGTGCAGGCAACGAAGCTGCCGGTCACACCGCACTAGGTGCGAACATGTCGAAGAAGAAGGGCGCGGCAGCAAAAAAGGGCAAGGCCCAGAGTTCGGCCGCTCCCGCAACTGGCGACCCGTGCAAATGTTTCACTTGCGGCGGTGTCGGCCACCTACAACGCGATTGCCCCACACCGCGCGACGACAATGACAAGCCACCATGCCGCGATCGTAACGGCGGACGGTGGCGAGGCCGCAACAAGAACAGGAAAAGCGGTGCGGCCACATCGAGCGAGACGGCAAAAGTCAGCGTGACACTATCGGCCGTCACCTCGCCTCTCCCACCTACCACCACGACCGAGGCAAATTATGTGCCCGTCATACAGCCGTTCAGCCCGCCCGCCGTACCCGCTGCCAGCGCGCAAGCTGCGCGCACAAGCCCGACGTATAAGGGTTCCATTGTCAACTCGGGAGCGACGATGCACATATCGCCGCTCAAGTCGAACTTCACGTCGCTATTGCCCATGTCCCCTATCCAAATCACGGCCGCCGATGGCCAGTCCTTCATTGCCGCATGGACCCTTTTGTCGGTCGGTGTGTTGGACGGCAAGGGCCTGCAGATGACTTTTGAGGATAGTCACTGCTTCATCCGGTCCCTGCGTCCCAAACGAGAGCTTCTATTGAAGCTGCCGCTCAAAAACGGCCTCTATTGTATCACGGGAGAGGAATCGCCGTCGGACAAGGTTGCCACCGTCGCCATCAGGCCCGTTCGCATGTCGCTCTATGATATGCATGTTCGCTGCGGTCACCACAGATATGACGATTGCCTCCGCATGGCTCGTCTTCCGGAGACCAAAATCATGCTGACAGATACAGTTTGCGTGCAGTGCGAGGTCTGTATCCGGGCGAACGCGTCGTCCCACAATTTTCTGAGCGAGAGCGACAACCGGGTGTCCTCGCAGGAGGTCGGCGCGCATTGGGCAATGGACCTGGTCGGTCCTATGGAGGTGCAGTCCTATGGCAGTGCGAACTACGGCATGTTCCCACTGGACCTGAGGTTGCGGTACATGCGCTTCTATGTGCTGAGGTGCAAGAGCGACACCGAGGCGATATACACCAACGAGTTCGAGCCATGGGTGATTCAGCATCTTCGCCCTGCTGGTATCAAGGTCTTGCGGACCGATCGCGGCGGCGAATTCACCAGCAACTCGTTCATCGCTCATACCCGGAGTAAGGGTACTGTTCGCGAGCTCACCGTCCACGACTCGCCTCAGTAGAACGGTGCGATGGAACGAGGGCAGCAGGCCGTATTTTGTATGGGCCGTGCTATGCTCTCTGGCTTGTTACTCGCGACGAAGAAGGCACTCTGGCCGCACGCACTGAAGCACGCGGTTTATCTCCATAATCGCCTACCCCACTCTTCGCTCGGTCACCTCACGCCATACGAGGTTGCATTCGGGATACACCCAAACCTCAATATGTTATTCCCTTGGGGTTCGATGGTGTGGGTGAAGTTGCGAAAGGGGCTGCCAAAGAAGCTAGGGGATATGGCAGTGAAGGCTCACTTCGCCGGAGTTAGCGACGAGTCGAAGGGTTGGGAGGTGCTATGGCCGGGTACTCGCAAGATTACCACCGAGCGCAACGTCTATATGACAGTTGACGACGTGCTGCGCGACAAGCCTGTCGGCAGTGTGGGAGGGGATGATGGTGAGGACGACGATTTGTCGCCCGAGTTCGCTGTCTCCAAGCCCGCGCACATCGAGCCCGTGCCTGCACCTGTAGTCAAACCACCTGCCGACAAGCTCCCGCCACCTGCTGCTGTGGCACCACATGCCCCACTCCCTGCACTCGAGAAGATCGACGAGGTCGATGAGGAGGAGGACAAGGATGAGAAGCAAGAGGTCGAGGATGACCTCCATCTCGATTCGCCATTGACGACTCCACCCGCTTCTCCCAAGGTACACGCCCGCCAGACTGCAGATTGCGAGATCACATCTCAGCCACTCAATCCGGAACTTGGCCGCGGTAAATGTCACGTGTGAGCCAATGCCGCGACGTTTAAGGCCACTATGTGTGCTGTAGTCGCCGAAATTATCGGCGAAGTACCATCTGGCATGGGTTTTACGTCTAGTGAGGTTGATCCGACTGTGGTAGCTGCCGCTGCGCGCTCCAATGGTTTACCTCGTACATTGACAGAGGCGTTGAAGCTCCCATCGCCGAAGTGCGAGCTTTGGGATGCTGGTGCAGGTGCGGAATACGGTCAGCTGGACAAGCAGAAGGTGTTCAAGTACGTTGACGAAGCGACGTTGCCACCTGGCACGCAGGTTCTCGGCACTCGCAATGTACTGTTGGAGAAGCGCAATGAGAAAGGCGAGGTCACAAAGCTCAAGGTTTGGATGGTCATGCAGGGTCATCTGCAGAGTGTGGTAATCGGTGATCATACCATTGAGGTCTTCACCAGCATTCTGAAACCCTCGACGATGTGCATGATCTTCGCTCATGGTGCGACCCAGGACTGGGTGTTCTGGGGTCTTGACATCCGCAATGCCTATCTGCATGCACCCATGACTGACACGGTATACGTCAGGCTCCCGGAGTTGTACGAGAAGCATAACTTGGAGTATGCTCAGCTCATTGCTGCCAATCCGGGCATGTCGATCGTCGCTCAGCTCCTCAAGGCGCTTTACGGTACGAAGCAGGCTGGTCGCCTCTTCTATAAGCACCTACATGGTTTCTTCGTCCATATTGGGTTCGTCGTTTGTGGTGCTGATGAGGCCGTGTTTGTCTGGCACTCAGCGAGCGACGCAGTTATAGCCGCTACTGCCACCGATGACCTCACATGCACGGCTCCACGCGAATCGCTCATCGAGTACCTCATCGCGTGTCTCCGTGAGTTCTTTGAGTTGGTGGACTAGGGCCCGCAGAAGTGGATTCTAGCAGTGCATGTTGTACGTGACCGTGAAGCTCGCACGGTCTCGCTGGGCCAGCAGGCTTATGCTCACGAGTGCCTGAAGCGCATGGGCATGGCTGATGCCAAACCGCTCGCGATGCCACTTGAGCCTGGGCTGGATCTTACACCCGGTGCAAAAGGCAGGAGGGAGATTCGCCTAAGCGAGTGCTCGCACGTGCTGTATCGCATGGGCGTCGGTCTATTGATGTACCTGGTCATCATGACGCGCCCTGATCTCTGCTTCGCTGTCAACACCCTATCGCAGTACCTCGACCAGCCTACGAAGACGCACATGGATGCCCTCAAGCATGCATTCCACTACCTTGCTGGTACCATCGACTATTGCCTTGTTCTCGGCGGTCGTAGTGTCGATGGTCGCGTCATCGGCTGGTGCGACTCGGACTGGGCGACTCAGGCCCACCGTCATTCGATCTCGGGTTATGCGTTCTTCCTGGGCCATGGTGCAATTACCTGGTCTTCAAAGAAGCAGACCATTATCGCGCTCTCGAGCACCGAGGCAGAGTACGTGGCGCTCACGCACGCCGCGCGCGAGCTGTTATGGCTGTGCCGACTGGTCTTGAAGTTGTTCCCAGAGCAGGCACAAGTCAAGCCAAATGTGCTGCACTGCGACAATCAGGGTGCTGGCTTCTTGGCAAAGGACCCTGTTTATCATGCTCGCTCGAAGCATATCGAGATCCGGTACCACTTCATCCGCCAGATCGTGGAGCTCGGCAAGGCTGTTGTCAAGTATGTGACCACCGACAAGCAGGTTGCTGATGGGTTGACGAAGTCGCTGAAGCGCGATGATGGGTCTCCAGGAGATGAAGGATTTGAAGGAATAAAAGACCTGGGAGGGTTTCCGTCTTGTTGATCTGTGGGAGGGTGTCGCGATAAATATTGTAGGACTTGTTTTGTCTCAATGATCCTGAACTGTGCGCGCGCCTTCGGCGCTTCCCAAGTGTTCCCACGGTTCCATTTTCAGTTTATCGTCTGTCGATTTGTTTTTGCTGGACTTCCACTGCTCATTATACTTGTGGTGGAAGTACGTACCTCATACTATATTCGTATCGGACAGATTACTCATGTATATACTAGCTACTCGCTTACGCTTGTACTAGGTATATAATACACTGCTCGTTTTACTTGTGGTGGAACTACTCGCTCACGCTCGTACTAGCCACTAATCTCGCAAGAAATGTAAATGCTGATTTTGGAGCTGGGCTCACTATCTTACTAACTTGCTATATAAATTCATTATCTATTTACTAGGTCTACCAATACTGCTAATTGATTGGCAATCAGAAACTTCTAAATAACTTGTGGGCTCTATAAGGCTTACTCAATCATATACAGCTCATGTGGATGTAATATTTGGATACAGCTCCATCATCTAGTACATTACAAGGCTGACAGAACCACAAAATAGAGTAGATAGGAACAGCTAGCTAAATTAATT